AATATCATATATATATAATTCTTATTGGCTTTATAGTATTTCAATGTATTAATATGTAATAATTTGTTTTACAAAGATGTTATTGAACTTTTATGTTATTTTTTTTATTCCTATATTACAGTTACCAGGATAAACACATATATGGCCAATTTCCTGCTTATTTTCTAAGAATAAGTTCTAAAAATGCAAGTGCCTTTCTATTTGTATGTTTTTGTTGTTGAGGTAAAATGTACATGTAGTCAGGTGTGGTGGTGCATGCCTTTAATCCCAGCACTCAGGAGGCAGAGGCAGGCAGATCTCTGTGAGTTCGAGGCCAGCCTGGTCTACATAGTAAGTTCCAGGCCAGCTGGGGCTACAGGGGAACCCTGTCTCAAAAACACCAAAAAAACAAAAAGTACATACAGTGAAATGCACAAATCAAGTGAGTTTTGATCTCTGTAACTAACTTTTTAAAATAAAAATGTAGAATATTTCTATCACTGCAGAAAATAGTGTCCCATTCTAACAATCCCTATTGCTCACAGATAATCATTGTTCTTCTGTCTATCAGGCTTGCTCTTCTATACGTGAATATCATTCAGAGGGAATCAGAGACTACATGTGGGTGTCTGGTGTTTCTCATTCAACATAAGACCTGTGAGAGTTGCGTATATTGTTGCTCTCTCAGTAGTTCTTTCTGTTGCTCAGTGGGGAGAGTGGTACATTCTGTTTGCGGACTCTGCATTTTGTTTTCCATTCTCCTGGTGATAGAAAGTGGGATACGCATTGAGTTGTTTCTTTGGGGCGATTATGAATGCAGCTGCTATAAATGCGTTTGTACAGGTCTTTGTAGACATGCTTTGTCTTGTGTGAATCCCTTGGGCTGCCATGGCTGGCTGTAGATGTGTATGCTTACCTTTGTGACAAATTGTTCTGTGGTGGTAGTACCGTTGACCCCAGCAGCAGGGCCAAGGGTCCCACAGTACTTGGTGTTGCTGGACTTTGGATGCTCAATCATCTCAGCAGTGCTAAGGTGGTATCAGTGTGGCTTGTGTTGCTTTTCCCTGAAGACTGGAGTTGTGGCTCTTTTCCTTGTTCTTGCTGCCCATTTGTACGTCCTCTTTTATAAAATGTCTGTTGTTTGCTCATTTCCTCGTGGTAGTTTTCCTTCTTCATCACTGATTTACAGACATTTCTTGGCTATACTAGATACAAGTTCTTTGTCAGATTTATGTATAAGAAACATTTTCTACTACTCTGTGGTTTATTTCAATAAGTAGATATCTTTTCATGAGCAGAAGTTTTAAATTTTAATAGGCTGACACATCAGCTTTTTTTAACTAATTAGTTCTTTTTTTATTCTAAGAAACTCTTATAAGTTCTAGGAAAGCCTGGACTGTATAAGGAGACCCTATCTCAAAATAGTAACATGTCTCTTAACAATATTTAGAATAATATTTGATAAATAAGCCGGGCACGATGACACACTCCTGTAATTCTAGCACCCAGGAGGTAGAGACAGAGAACTCATGAATTTTATGCCAGCCTTGGCTACATAGAGTCCCTGTTTCAAAATAAAACAAAACAAAAAGAGAGAAATAATCTGGCTATTGTATCCAACATAAAATTAATATCATAAGTACTCAGTACAATAATTGCTGACTCGGCAATTTAAAAACTAGATTAAAATAAAAAATCAGGAGCTGGAGAGATGAGTCAGCAGTTAAGAGCACTTGCTGTTTTTGCAGAGGACCTGAGTTCAGTTCCCAGCACCCTGGTGGTTCACAACTGCCTGTAACACCAGTTTCAGGAGATCCAGTGCCCTCTTCTGGCCTCCATAGGCTCCTGCACACATGTGGCACATATATAAACTCATGTAGGCAAACCCATATCCATAAACAAAATAAACCTTATAATTGCTGAGCTGAAGGCCTTTATCTCCCCTTTGCTTTCCTTTTCCCCTCCCCACTTCTTCCTCCTCTTCCTCTTTCATTTACTTTTTGTGTGTGTGTGTGTGTCTTTTTGAGACAGGGTCTCCCTGTAGCCCCAGCTGGCCTGAAACTCACTATGTAGACCAGGATGACCTTGGACTCACAGAGATCTGCCTGCCTCTGCCTCCCAAGTGCTGGGATTAAAAGCATGCACCACCATGCCCGGTTTCATTTACTTTTTTAAAAGAATTTATTTTATGTGTATGAGTGTTATGCCTATATGTATGTAAGTACACCGGTGTAGTGCAATGCCCACTGAGGTCAGAAGAGGGCGTCAGATCCCTTGGAACTGGAGTTAAGTATGTGTTAGCCACCATGTGAGTGCTGGGAATCGTACTTGGGTCCTCTGCTAGAGCAGCCAGTGTTCTTAACCACTGAGCTATCTCTCCAGTCCTGTCTTCTTTCATTTACTTTTGAGATAAGAGTCTCAGTAAGTTGCCCAGACTGGCCCTGAACTCAATGAGTAGCCAGGGGCGACCTTACACTGATCCCTCTGCCTCTACCTCACAAATGCTAGGTTACAGGCATGTGCCACCATTGAGCCTGACTAGCTTTTTCTTTTTGAACCAGGTCTCCCCATGTAGTCCAGGCTGACCTTGAGTTTGCTGTCTTCCTTCCTTAGGGATTATAGGTCTTACCGCCAGTCTAAATGAGGTTTTTGAAGGTTATTGCTAAGTTGCTTAGAAGATGCTGATTTTTCACCCTCCCCCTTAGACCACTGTTATTTTCAATCATTGCTTATCTGAAACATGATTCAAATGAACATTATTATTTATATTTCTTCTGTTCATTTGTTTTCTTATTTGTCTTTTATTAGCAGAAAATCAAGTCCGTCACACTTATTCCACTTATTTTTCCCAGCTCATTGTTTACCTTTTGTGTGTGTTTGCTACATTTGTTCTTTGAGACAGCGTCTTGCTGTGCCGTCCAGACTGATCTCAAATTCCTGGGCTTTTAGGTACTCTTTCTGCCATAGCCTCCTGCTTAGCTGATAGCTGGTGTAAGCCTGGCTATGGCTTACTGTTGACATTTAACTTTATTTTTGGGTTGATAGTCCTTTCTTCAGTTTTAGTTTCTTATGAGGCCTTTCATATATATATATAAAATTTTCGGGAGGAGGGGTTGAGACAGGGTCTTGCTATGTAGCCCTGGCTGCCTGGAACTCATTATGTAGATCAGGCTGGCCTTGAACTCAGAGATCCTCTTGCCTCTGCTCCCCAAGTTCTGGGATTAAAGTTGTACACCACCATGCTTACCCTTAAAAATGTATTTTTTAGATTAACATACAAAGTATTGGGCTTCATCATGGCATCTTCATACATCCATGTCATTAGACTTTGTTCTCAGTCATTCTCCTTATGTAGTGTCCTCTCTACCCTCCAGATGGTTCCTTATCTTTTCCCCGTTAGTAGACACTTCTGCTTTCTTTCTACATGTGAATCACTAACATTCCTATTTCTCACATATTTCTTTCCTTTATGGACAATCTCTTTATATATATGCACATATATATGTACATATATGAATTATGATATATTTTCCTCCTTTATAGCCTTCAAAATATGTATTTAATTTTTTCCTAAAGATTATATAAAATTGGGTGTGGTGGTACAAGAATTTCTAGGGGCTGGAGAGATGGCTCAGTGGTTAGCAGCACTGGCTGCTCTTGCAGAGGACTCAGGTTCGATTCCCAGCACCCACATAGCGGCTAACAACCATCCATAACTCCAGTTCTAGGGGATCCCTCTTTTGACCTCTGTGGGCATTGCACAACACGAGTGCACCTACCTACATGCAGGCAATATACTCATACATATAAAATAAAAATAATAAGGGGACTGGAGAGATGGCTCAGTGGTTAAGAACACCGACTGTCCTTGCAGAAGACCCGGGTTCACATCCCAGCACCCACATGGCAGCTAACAACTGTCTGTAACTCCAGTTCCAGGGGATCCGACAGCCTCTTCTGTCCTTCACGGGCATTGCACGACACGGATGCACTTACCTACATGCAGGCAATGCACTCATATACATAAATAAAAATAATAAAATATTTTAAAAATAAATAAAATTAAAAAATATTTATAAAACAGAAAGATTTCTATCTGAAATGGTTAAAATGAATTTCAAAATTTGGGTGTTTAAAATCACACCTCTTGGTTCTCCAGAAAATTCACCCTGTAGAACTCAGCCGTTCTGGAGAGCCCCTATTACCATGCAGTGTATTGCAGCAGCTTGGCATGAGAGCCAGGCCTCTGAGTGTGCTTAGCTCTTAACTCATCCTTGCTGAAGCCACAGTGTGGGCCTCATCAAGGCCCTAGCTCCTTCTTAGGCGACAGATGATGACAGAGGCATTTGAGTGTCTAGATAGGACAAATGAACCTTTTCTCCAGCGTGTCTGATGCCACTGTGTCTTGTCTTCTTAGGTAGCAGATGGAGCAAATGCCATTGTGCTGGGGACACTGGGAGACATTGCCCCTCCTCTTGCAATTATCGGTGGAAATTGTGCTCTTCAGGGCTTTGATCATGAAGGGAATGATCTCTTTTGGACGGTATGAAGAACTGCTTTAATTTTCTTTAGATGTTTTTAGACCACTGATTGTACTGAGTAGTAGTTTAAAAAAATCCCAATAATAGGATTCGTTAGTAATTCATGTTACTTCATTAGTAACATGATTGCCTTGCAGGCATGCAGACCTGAATACAAAGCTAGACATGAAAAGCTAGACCTGGTGGCCAGCCTGTGCAGTCCCGGCACTGGGGAGATGGAGACAGGTGATCCCTGGGGCTTGCTGGCCCACCAGCCTAGCCTAGTGGTGAGCTTCAGGACAGTGAGAGACTATGTCTCAAAAGAAGTGGATGGAGTTCCTGGGGATGACACCTGAAGTTGCTCTGTCCTCCACTCAATATACACACATACAGGCACGTGCACACGCATCCACACAAGAACACCTACACACACACCCCTACATGCATATACAAATAAAAAATCTCAGAATACTATTTATAGTAAAGGTCTGAGTGATATTAAGAACTCACTGGTGATTTGTATAATTCCTTCATGAAGATAATGCTTTTTGATTAAATGGAAAAGGATGACATCAATGATTTTGGTTTCCTTTTCAGGTTACTGGAGACAATGTTCATTCCTTGGCTTTGTGTGACTTTGATGGTGATGGGAAGACAGAGGTATGTGGGGAGCAGCTGTGTCTGGTATGTTTAGCTGAATGCATTTTCCTATGACGGTGACTTCAGTGTGGAGGAGCATTAGTTCCTCATGGCTGATTCTGGAGTGCGGCTACCTAAAGGATGAGCTAACTGGTCCTCTGTATCTGTCTCTTTCTCTCTCCTCTCTGTCTCTTCTCCCTGTCTCTTTCCCCTCTCTCTTTCTCTCTTTCCTCTCTCTCCTCTTCCTTTCTCTCTTCAGTCTCATCTCCCTTTTTCTCTCTCTTATCCTCCCCCCGCCCGCCTCTGCCTGTCTCTGAACAGGGTCTCCCTATGTAACTCAGGCATACTTCCCTATGTAACTTGCCTGGAGCTTGAGATCCTCCTGCCTTGGCCTCTAAAGTGCTGGGATGACCAGTGCTCCCCAGCCTGACTTCTGTCTTCTCTTTTTTTGACAGTAAGTCATTTGTGTTAGTCTGAGACCAAGGTCAACATTAAGGTTTCAAAGGCAGGAAAGGGAAGAGAAGACAGAGTAGATGAGACTTCAGTTATATTCATAATTTTATGAACTGTTTCTGATGCTTTGAGACTTTGATATTAAGTAGTTTCCAATTTTGGCTAACTTTTCCAGGAATCTAAAAGTTTCAGAGAATATCTCTTAGATTTTGAAATTATTCTAATTATTCTAGATAGATATCAATGTAAAAATTATCCTAGAAAGTCACTCTTTGAGTAGTCGTACATGTGCAATATTTGCTGGGCCCTAACTTAGCTGACTCTTGTCTGTGAACACTGGGCTCTGGTGTTTGAGACAGGGCTTTGTTGTGAGCACACAATATCAGAAACAGCCAAACTGTGTGTGTGTGTGTGTGTCTGTCTGTCTGTCTGTCTGTCTGTCTGTCTGCAGTGTCTCAGGTACAGAGGTTTTGCTGACTGGCAGCAGTTTTCAAGTGGTCCTGCTTTCTTTGCTAGCCTTGGCTGAGGCAAATGCAGTATTCTAATCGTCATTACCAGTGTCAACTCTCAGGTCACACATTACACATCACACAGTCAATGCATCTCTGTCTGTATGTAGGCTACAGAATGGCTACAAAGGGTTAAAGGCCTGAGGCGGGAATGCTAACAGAGGTGGGAGGGGGTTGGGGGTGGTAAGGTAGAAAGCAGATGTGGAGCCAGATGTCTGCTGCAAAAGCTGAGTCAGGCCGCAGAGTCAGAGTGGAGCTGTGGGAGCAAGCTACAGAGGAGAGAGCTTCAGGGGACGCTGAGGACATGAAGGGCAGGGCTGCATCTGGGTGGATGGATGGATGACAGGTACAGATGTCTGAGCAGGTGCATGGGCAGATGGGCAGATGGCAGTCTGAGTAGACCATATAAACAGGGACCTAGCCAAGCTGAAGACCTTTCAAATGAGCAGTTCTCTGCCTGTGTCCTTTGAAGCATACACCAGGTGGTCAGATGGCAAGTTGGAAAGGCCATCACAGTGTTAACTACCTACCTCTCTATTGGGTCCAGGTAAAAGAGTGGTGGTGCCCTTTCCACCATCTGGTATGTCTGATAAGTTCTCAGACCTGACTTTCCTAATATTAGTTTAGTACACCCATGTGCTCCTACAGCCCTGATTTCACCTCAGTAAATGTATAGGATGGCATTTTTTCTATCCCTAGAAATAACTCATTTACAAGTCTGTGCCACCTGGGTGGTCCCGAACCTATGGTACCATTCATGTGGCCACCAAGGTGCAGAATCATTCTCTGTCCTCAAAATTGAGTTTCTCAGGGCAAGTCAGTGTCTGAAAAGCCACTCTTTTACACAGTATGGAGTAATTTAGGGCAGGGCACAGCCTGATCAAAGCAGGTGTCCATCAGCATCAGGGAAGGGCACTGACTGGGGAGTGTTTTCAGATGTGCAGGGAAGGAACTTGTTCATGGCTCCCATGTGGCCTAATAAGCTCTGTAGAGCTGATTTTTCTCCTCTGACAGAATGAATCAGTTGAGACCTCCTTGAGCACTGGATTTCTTGAGGACTGGAACTCCTAAGTGGCAATGGTAGCAAAGGATTGTCCAGTTTGTTTTATTTATGGGACTTTGGCTGTATTTACTTATTAAACTATGATTTCCTGCCCTTTTTTCAGCTTCTTGTTGGATCTGAGGATTTCGACATTCGAGTTTTTAAAGAAGATGAGATTGTGGCAGAAATGACAGAAACGGAGGTAGGCAGTGCAGTGCCTGCAGAATCATGGTAACTTGGGCGAGGTGCCGTAGCTCCAGCTCACCATGAATTCAAGAGATGCTCTTCACTCACTGTCTTGATAAAAACTTGATTTTTTTCTTAATTCTACTATATATTTACAATATATTCATTTTGTGTGTGTGTGTGTGTGTGTGTGTGTGTGTGTGTGTATGCACACATGTGTAAGTGTGCCATGGTTACATGTGTGGAGGTCAGAGGACAGCTTGTGGGAGTGTTTTCTCCTTCCGCCATGTGGGTCCTGGGGATTGTACTCAGGTTGTCAGGCTCAGTGGCAAGTACTTTAACCATCTCTGAGCCATCTCTCCAGCCCCCACTACAGACTTTTATATATATATATATGTGTGTGTGTGTAATTTTTTATTCTTTTGAGGCAGGGTCTCTGTATTGTGGGCCAGGCCACTCCTGCCTCCTGAATGTAGGATCGATCGTAGGTATGCATTATCATGCCTGGCCCAGATTTGTTGTAATGAGAGTGGCAGTTGTGGACAGCAGAGGTGAAGGAGAGAAATGGGCGTAGAAGGCAGGAGTGTAAAGACTTGTCTGCAGAGAGCTCTGCTGATGAGGATGTGCTTGGATGTGCTTAGGCTTTCATTGGATATTTTGTGATTGTATATGTTTATTTTGTTTTCTGAGACAGGGCCTTACTCTGTCAAGCCAAAACTGGCCTAGAACTCACAGTGTAGCCTACACTGGCCTTGAACTCATGACAGTCTCCTGTCTCAGTTTCCCCCAAGTGCTGGGATTACAGATGTGAACTGCCATACAGATTTTCATTAATTCTTAAAGGGATTGTAGCCCTCCCCCAAAAGACCCCCACCCAGGACACAGTTTGAGCATCACTGGTGCTGGGGCCTATGCTGTCATCTCTTCATCCTAACGTGTAGTGAACCTATTCCCTTTTGGTGGAACCATTTAGAATTTTTGACTTCTGCTTTGGTCAGTATTAGATGTGATGAGAGTGTTCTTTGAAGCACCTTTTCTCTACATTCTAGAAGGAGAGGGGAACATGGATAGTGTCAAGGGCCACACTGCTTCTCTAGTCATGCAAAGGAACAGGTGAACTAAAGAAGCACTATAGGACCTGGGGAGTCTGGAGCTGATTAATGAAAACATGAACTTTATAAAATTGTTCATTTTCCTGTCCTTTTTGTTTGGTTTGGCGTTGGGTGACTTTTCCTCAAGTATTTTGACCCAGATCAGCAAAATCATGATTTATTTGGCAGTTGAACAGTACTAAGTTTTGTCTGAAGACCTCCTAGAGCTAAATAATTCTGGAATCCTACACAGTGTTTTGTATTCAGAGTTGAATGAAGTGGGTGGTTTGTGGAAAAGCTATGGGTGTAAAGGAAATTATGTAACTATTCTCTGCTTTGCACAATTCATTTCTTACTGTCTTTTGTATTTGGATCAGAATTAGAAAATAGATCTGTAGGATCATAGACATCATTAAGCTTTTGTTCAGTAGCAAATTTTATCCTTTAAAGTATGTTAAATCTCCGTAAAGTCCTATAAATATTAATGTGTAATATATATATTTGTGTATATGGTTATATACTATACAAGTTCATATGCATGGACTTTTAGTTTTGATAAGATTATACTTTTGGGGCTGGAGAGATGTCTCAGTGGTTAAGAGCACTGACTGCTCTTGCAGAGGACCCGGGTTCGAGTCCCAGCACCTACATGGCAGCTTCAAACCGTCCTTAGCTCTAGTTCCAGGGGAATCCGAAGCCCTCTTCTGACCTCCACGGCATTGCA